AATCTAATATCTAGATGAATGTAATTCCTGTGATTAGCAGGATAGAAGCGTCAAGTCATTATTATTAGATATTAAAATAAACATGACCATACATTGTTCCACAATCTTGTGAACAGAGATACATTGGTTACTCATCCACCCATCCATGTCCACAGCTTTACTAGGCAAAAGAGAGATGTACACTTTCGAAAGGTATACAGTCTAATGTGGTATAATCTATAAAAATGGGTCAATTACAACACACTGTGATAAGTATTAAGATGGAGGGAAGTATCAGGTGTTTGGCAGCACACAGGAGGAAGAGTTAATACAGTAGATTAAGGGAATTGTGGATGATGTCATAGAGGTCATGACCCTTGTCCTGAGCCTTAATGAACGAGTTGGCGTTAACTAGGTAGAGATTGTTTACAGATGCGGTGTGGTGCGGCCAAGGGTTTCAACCCAGTCCATTTGTGATGCCGTTAAAACAGGTATTATTCATCTGGACAATTTGGAATATGGTAAAAAAATCAGGAAGTAAACAACTAACGTCTCTGAGTAACCAAAATAGATGATGTCAGGTCCATGCACCAAAGGTGACATAATCACTGCCATGTAAAAGTTGCTAGTGATTTCTACCTTAACAAGTCAGATTTTTTAAATGCTGTTGATAGATCTGAATTGTAAATTAAAGCCTTGGGATTAATCCAATGGCTAAAGTGGAAAATATAATAAATCTTGGAAAATTTGCACTTTCTAGTGAGACAAAGAATTATAGAGACATGTTCCATTACATTAGTGAAAGCTACTGGACAGACTATATCTTTTAAACTGATAACAGGAGCAAATCCAGAGACTTCATAATCTGGAAAAACTTCTTGTTCTTACCCAAGATAGGTGTCCTTTACTCTATAATGGAAATACTCTGCTTTCCACAGGTCAGGCCACAAGACACCTGGTGGATTAAGCTACTACATAAAATGTTAGCCTTCTGGGAGAGCTATTGTACTAGATTGCAAAAATGAAAACAAATTCTTCCTTTCTATCAAGTTCTGTTTTTTTTTTTTTTAGGAAGATTGTCCTTGAGCTAACATCTATGCCAGTCTCCCTCTATTTTGTATGTAGGATGCTGCCACAGCATGGCTTAATGAGGTCTGCTCCCAGGATCTGAACTGCAAACCGTGGGCTGCTGAAATGAGGAGAACAAACTTAACGAGTACACCACCGGGCCAACCCTGTACCAAGTTCTTGAATGTGTTTTCGTAGCTGTAAGCATTAAGAGATGGAGTCGTTCTTCATCCTTTGAGTGTGCGCTGGCCTGATGAACGGCTTAGCCAAGGATGCTGTGGCAAGCATGATGCAAGCAGGGACTGGAAAGAGCTTGGGTATTGAGGCTTCTGCTACTGCTACTCTTGGAAGATGTGATTGCCACTATGTTAAACAGTTGGGCTAGTCTGTTAGATAACAAGAGACATGTGGCCTAGTGACTCCCAACACTCCAGCCTACAGACAGCCAATTGTCAGGTTTTGAGTGAGGCCCTGCATTGCCAGCTGACCACAGATACATGAGTAGGCTCAGCTGAGTCCAGAGGAACTGGCCAGCGAGCCTACGTGGGTTCAACCCAAACCGCCAATCCACAGAAATGTGAACTAAATGAATGTCTTTTAAGTCACTAAGTTCTGGCGTGGTTTGTTCCATTTGCCTACCTACTACCTATCGGATAGTTTTCCTGCCTCAGTTCTTTCTCACACCACTCTGGGGAGTAGTTCTCTTGATTTATTCCCATGGCATCTGTCTGCTCACTTAAACTGTTTGGTTTCCTGATTACTGACCACAAAGTATTTATAGAGTATTTGTTGTGCATTAGGTACTATGCTAGGCGAAGAGGATTCTAGAAGTTAATAACATACACGTGCCAGTTGGGTTATCTGGAATGGATTCCGTGCTTCCTTCTGTTCACCTAATTAAATGAAAACACTGAAAAGGTGAGTGGGAGAGGCATTCTTGAAAAAGATAGAAATAAGGTGGTTAGCCTTAAAGAAACAAAACAAGAGGAGACAAGCGGAATGAGTGGCTTCTGTGCGGCGCTCCTCTTCATATGCCCCAGGAATCAGAATTTTTTGTTCATTTGCATTAATACCCTAGACCCTGGCAGAGTGCTGAGGGGAGCTCATGCTAATTTTTCTTCTCCTTCTTTCCCACTCAGAACTTCTTTCTATTCTTATTAATGGACCCAAGTTCCCTGGCTAAGGCTTTTCTACATCCAGGTCCAAATGATTTTTATTTCCCTGGAATATAGGAGATGGCATGTTTTAGTGGTGGTGCTGGAGAGGATAGAAAAAAAAAAAAGCCAAAACCAAACCAAACAAAAAACAATTTAGGATTCAGATAGATCTGGTTTGAATCCCAGCTCTGCCCCTTAATGACAGTGACATTCAATCTCAATGTTTTTCATATGTAAAATGAGGTTATATTATCTGCTTCATGGGATGTTGTGAGGACCTGAGACAAGGATTTGAGAGAACATATAAAGCCTCTAGCAGAAAGCTTCAAGTGTCACTAAGTTACATTTTAGTAAGCCCTCAGAACACTGAGAGCTACACATGGAGTTACAATCAGTGGAGTTCAGCATGCCAAGCAATTATTTTTTACTATCTACGACAGAGGAGGCGGGCAGTTTAAACAAACAGACAACAAGAAGTATCACATCAAGAGTTCTATTAAACAAGGGAGACATTTACGGTTTTGTTTTGGAGGGAAAACAAAAGATTTGGTTTTAAAGTCTAGGAGGTGCTGGAAATAGAAATATCTTGGTCTGAAAATCATTAGAAATTATTTGGATATTTACAAAAAATACAAAGGTTATTACAGAATTTCAGTATCCTATGACGTTAGGTAAGAAATTCTATTGTACTTTGTAATTAATTTTTACACTTGTTCTCTTCACCTTTTTTCACATTTTTGTAGAAGCATAGTGGTTTTAACTAGGAAAATAAGGATGAAAATGTCACACACATTTTAACAATAAAAATAAAGTTTTAACAATATGATAAAATTATAGAGTTTCCTACAACCGCAGAGAGCTAATGAGTCAGAAACTAGAAAGATTATAATGCACGCCTTGTATTTCTTGTGGGAAAGGAAGGCCAACGCTCTAAAGTGATTTTGTAAATGGCTCTTCCTCCCATCAGAGAGCCCAGGTGTCCAGTGTCATTCCTGCTTGGATTCCATCCCACTCCTTAATGTAGCAGACAGACAATTACTGTAAGGTTTGCAAGGAAACAGTGCCAGGTATTTTAAAATGTAAACTTTGCTCCCTGGGGGAATAGGTTGCTAGGTAGGTGAAGGGAAATAAAAATCTTTGATCACACGACATGAATCTTTTGAAAGCGAATCTTGGAGTGTACCTCAAATGATTGCCAAGTGCTAGACTGATTCAAATCTGCTGCAATACAATTCGCTAAAATAGGAAAATCTACACACTCTAGTTTGGGCTCCTTTTTAAAATGGCTTCAATTAGTCTAAATTATTTTCTTGTAAATTCTTTTCTTTAAGCCTATTCTAAGTTAGATTATCAAATTAAAATAGAACTGCTCCAAAAATTCAGAGTAAATGGCGAATGGAAAGGAGTTTAATCTTAACTTTAAGACATATTTTATAATTTTTAAACATACAGAAACATTTTGAAAACAAACCTTCAAATAGTAAGTTCACAAAATCTAAATATTAAAGTTACAGATGGGACCCAGCTTGAACTTGACTGGAGTAACAAAACATTATAAAATCTGTGGCATTATCTTTTGTTAAAACAACCACTCCAACCTAGTTCAATTACTTGTTGCCTTTTAGATACAAAATATGGTTGAGTTACAAAGCACGTTAAGATAAAATCACTAACAAGCGAAACATGCATTCAGTATTTCTTTGTGATTACGGTAACTAGTACTACTTTTATTTTATAGCTGGTGGAGAGAACATCGATACCTAGTTTGTCAATGGTTTCTGTGAAACAGAGCTATAAAAGCACAAAACTTTAGGGCTGGAAGGAATTTAGTCACCTTGACAATTATTAGTCTAGTTGAATAAAAGATGTGAATATTGGCTCCAAAATAAGATCTTAGCGATATCCCTGGTTGTAAGGGACTTGTAAGATTTCCTGGATCAGGATCCTATTTCTTTGTTTCAGATTTTCTTTGCTTTTTCTAAATCCATTATTACTACTTATTCATTTTATCATAATCATCTAATTACTAGATTAAAGTTTTGCTTATCCCCAAACTTGATCAAAGTGAGCCTCAGAAGACCTTTCATTTGGGCTCATATACATACAGCTGAAACCAACACCCAATTTGACCAAACCTGTAAGGACACGACCTTCTAGGGTCTTGCTATTAAATTTCTGTAAATATCATGAGGTGCTTTTAGCAAGGACTCTGCTTACATAGGGCTGCAGTGCCAACCCTCTCTCTAAATCCATTAGAGGTTGGAATTTGTAAAAATGTAAAATTCTCTGAAACCAGATATTGTTTTCCTTTTCTTTGTGGAGAAATTGAAGACCTAGTTACATCCAGGAAAGCTTTCTAACCCAGTTCTCCCTCTAGAGGGAGACACAGTCCAGCTTTTAGACCAATTGCCGCCCTCTCATCTTCCGTCGTCTCTTTCTGTATCCGCAGGACCGCAGTTTGCTCTCAGCGGCAGCCGCGGCTGCTAACAGAACTGGCTGTTGCGAGAGAGACGGAGGGAGGCAACGCCGCCTGGCTCTGCTGTCCCATTTTACTGCTTAACTCAACCTGGAGTGTCGGGACGTATTCCCTCTCTGCGTTCTCCTTGCACTCTGCTGGGGGCCAGTCACTCCGTACTCCCTGGACAGGCAGGCCGAGTGGAATGGAATAAGGGGTCTGGGTGGAACAGGGGGCTCTGCCCTTTAAGGTGTAAGGTGACTTTCTGAAAGACACCATCAGCGTCTCTTTGACAGGACAGCGCCTGGAGCGGGAGGCGGAGAGGAGGCTTTGATTACTAAACCGCTTACTTCTTTTTCTTCTGGTGATCTGGGTTTGTTTCCTCGGCCCCCTCCTCCGCCCCTTCCCTCTCCCTCCCGCCTTCAGCGAAGTGACACAGGCAACACCTGCTCGCTCGTGTTTGATGTTGGAACTCGCACCTTCTCGGTGGTGACGGTGCCAGAGTACTAGGGACAGGGGGACGGAGGCCGATTTCCCTTCTTTCCAGCCCACGATGCCTAGAGGGGCAGCGGTGGGGCTGCGTGGGGCTGCGCCCGCAGCACTTGGAGGCGGGATTTCGGGGCTGCAGCTGGACAGGAGTTGCTGCTAAGTGGACTCGGCGCGAAGTCTCCGAGAGGCCATCGGCTGGGACCTGTCTGCGTACAGCGGGAGCAGGGGCACCTGGACCCAGGAACCCGGGCGTCTCGCGGGTGGAGGACGCCGAGCTCAGCGCCTCGTCCTTCCCGCCCCGAACCTCTCCAGCAGCTCCCCGACGTTGGAGACCCGGGACCTGCCAGAACCGGGGACTGGAGAAGTACACGGCTGAGGCTGCTCTCCTGAAGGTGAACCGTTCGGTGCGATTGCCTTTCCCCGGAGAGCAAAAGGGAGCGCGGAGAAGGGGACGGAGGATGTGTGTGTGTGCGTGAGAGGGAGAGCCAACGCGAGGCCAGAGGAAAAGTCTTCACTCGGCGTTAAAAGCCAACAAATCAGAGCCGGAATCCGAGCGGTGATTGCTGCAGGACCGCTTTGAGCCTCGCAGTCGGGGGAGCCGAGCGCCCCGCGCGGATCCGGCGAGGACCGCGGGCGCTGGCGGGGCTGCGGGACCTGGGCTTTTCCTCAGTAAACAAGTCTTTTGATTACTTTGACACCGTGGAATCAAGAGGGGGAACCAGACGAGGCTCGCTCACTCCACCTGCCGCCCGCTTTAACGGGATTCCAGGTCGGATGTCAAGAGATTCCTGAACGCTCTTTGCCATCGGAGGAGGAAACACGCGCGCGCGCACACACACACACACGCACGCTCAGGGCCACACTCACACGCCCTCCACGAGCGCACACCACACTTGGGTTCCCTATGCCCCTGAACGGTGACGGCGGATTGGCATCCGGGAAGCGATGCAAGAGCGATAAGCCTGGCGTAGGCCCGCGGAAGCTGCAGGAGCATCGCTAGGTGTTGCCGCCACCAGGAAGCCGGGCTGCAGGTAGGTAGGCGCGAGCCGCGCCCCCGGCCGCCCGCCGGCGCCGGGCACTCGGGCGGCAGCTGGACGACCGGGGCCCGGAAGCCCTCCCCTCCCCGAGGGTCGGGGGCTGTAGGAGCTCGCCCTGGGGAGGTGAGAGGTGAGAGCAGATGCTAGCTGGGCGGCCAGGGTAGGGGTGGAGGTAGAGGATGCCGAGAGGGGACCCAAGCACACAGAGGTGCCTCCGAGAGCGGCTCCTTCCCTCTCCTCTCTGCCCCGTTTCTCCTGACACAGCGAGCGATCCCGCCGAGGATCGCAGTGGGTTTTAATTCGATCCCTTAACCAAACCAATCCCGGTTGGCAACCATGTTGGACTCCTAATAAGGAGTTGGGGGTCGAGTTCAAGGCAGGATCAATGGGATGTGTCAAGTCGCCTTTCTGAAATCCCTACTTTCTGTCCACTTCTGATTAGTTAGTTCTCGGGCCTGTCTGCAGAGGGTGGGCGTTTCAGTGAGGCTGCTGATTTCTCCACCTCTGTTTTCCTAAAGAATCGTCTTGATAAGTTTGGAGCCTCATCTGTTTAAAGGTTTATTTAGATTTGGGAATGGACGCTTTGTTACTGAACGAAATAAAGCTTTAGCACAGGATACTACAGGAGAGCTTTAGGAAAAGGATCATTTTATGAACAGCGTTCAGAAAAAAGAACAGCTTCGAGAAACTAATGATTTGATTTCCTTCCGGATAGATGTCTCCCAAATGTTGCTAATAGTACATGGTTTATCTGCCCCACTCCTTTGCTCTCCCTTCCCCCTTCTGTTCCAAAAGGCCAGGTTCCCACCAAGAGATGTTTTCTTAAGGCTGCTGATCTTCACTTGTCAGTGGTGAACATGTTATTTCCAGAAACTGCCTTTGCAAAGGAAAGTTTGAGATCCGTCGCCCTATTTCTCCTAGAACTATGTAGTTTCCACTTGAAAAGGACGGACTGCCGGCGCTTGCAGCGTCCGCGGTAGACGCGACGCGTTCCTATTCTGTATTCCACTTCCTGACCGAGTGTTAACAATTGCCTGAAGCTTTCGAATCAAATGTGTAGTTACTACAATGGCTAGCTGGCCTCTCTTCACTCTGTGCTGGGTGAGTTTGTCTCGTGGCAGTAAGACAGAAAAGAAAATATCTTCCTTTTCCGAGTGTTAAATCCTCTGTTGAATTTTTCAAAAATCGTTCTTGAAACACCAAAAGCGAACAAACGTTTATGCCACCTTTACTCTGAAAAGTAGCCCCAAAGCAGTCAATGTATAAGGGGCCTTCACCCAGGACAGGAGGAATTTCAGTGACTCTTGACTGGATAAATATCTGGTTCCCGTCTTCCCAACTAAATTGTTTTAGACGCCAACATTCAGGCTGTTATCAATTACCACTTTGAAACTGCTCTCTTAGGCAATATAAGTTAAGATAAATGAGTAATTAATTTAAGATTTCTGTGTAAAGTGCTAAATGGCAATAACCAGCAAAGCAGGTTAAAAGCACTTCTAAGCCTTTAAAAACGAGAGCATTGAGAATATTTGTATTTCCTCCAGCCTTCCCAGGTTTGTACATGTATCTCAGGCTGGTGAATCTTTTATGGTTTCAAAATTGGCACCTAATATCCTTAAAAATGTTCAGGCACATTTAACTTTTCTCTTTTCCTACTTTATTCTGTTCTGGAGCTCCTCTTGAGCCAATTGTTTGCACAATGACCTCTTTTTAGAGTCCTAATTTTTAAATCCGTAAGTAGCCATTGAAAGGCCATCAGTAACCATACTGGGGCTTCTTTTATTTTCATTTCCTTAATTTTCAATGAAAAAAATTCGGTTGTATTATGTATAGATATACTATGAGAGCAGTGTCACCACTAACTGAGTGCTTAGGCTTAGTGACTCAGGCAGAACACAGTTTTAGTGTGTTGCTTTATTCAATGAGGCATTTTTTGAGACTAAAATCTTGATTCTTTTCTTTTAACAAAGTTTAGTAGTTTATGATGCTTGAGCTTACATATTTATATATAGTGCTATGATGTATGTCTCTTAAAGAAGAACACAAAAATGTTGACATTAAAGCACACACCTATAATGCTACAAGTTGTTCTAGAGGGGAATCTAAGCTTTCTGACCATGTGTGATTTTGAATCTGAAAAATATTAGCTATTTTAACAGAGAAGAGTTGGAGAATGAAGATTCATTGAGATGCCCATGGATCTATGTCAAAAAAGATACATATTGCTTAGAGACTGTGTTATTTACTAACCACCAAGTTATAAAGCATGATGACACAGCTGTAAAAAGATCTGCTTTTAGACATGGCCACTTTTCCTTTTTAAAAATTTATCAAGTGATGAAACTTAGGGGGTGAGAGGAGATTTTATAAAAATTGTTTTGTGTATTATCAGAAAATTTTAGTGGTCCTGGATCCAGTATCTTCAATATAGTATTTTAATGATGATCCTTTTACAATGTGGTTTTGAATATTGAAATGTTGAAAGTGCATTTTAGGGTTGATTTATCACTCACTGCAGGTCATGGATTACCCTGTGCAGGTGGGGTAAGATGTGCCGCTCCAGCGTTTTTCCAGGTGTTTCTCATCATGGCCCCTAATAAGAGACACTGTCAGATTCTGCCCAAGTTCAGCTGTGGCTGCAGGCTGATGAACATTTGTCTCTCTAATGCATGTCCCAAACTAGGAATGTTCCAAAGTGTCATCAGTTATTTCTAATATCTTTGAAAAGATGAAACAAGCAGAGTGCAAACAGTCCAGTGCCCCTGCTTTCACTTCTGCAGCATTTTATTAGGGATGCCTCATTAGGTCGCATTATTCTGCAGCTGTTTTGTTCATTGAAGATTCAAGTAAAAATAAGGAACTTTACTGTGCAGTACAGTTTTGTTTTCTTGGTGAAAAACCATAAGTTGAAGTAAAATAAGCATCCAGCCTAGTCCCCTTTGATCTATGCCTGACATTTACAAATGCAATTCATCAACCTGTTATTAGTAGGGCTCCATCAACACAGAAAGGAACCGCATTAACACAGGCTGCTGCTAGAGATGACGGCAAACCAGCTGAATCAGCCTCATATCTGGTGCACACACTTGCACAGGATTTCACATGATATGTCTTGTTTATGAACCATTGATTTTTTAATACCGTGTCGTATGGTGCATTTGCCATTTTGTTTGAAAATTCCTTGGTTAACTTTATTTTGAATTACGGGGAGCATATTGACCCATACCATTGGAAGAGGAGGAATAATTTCACAGTGAGTTACCATGAGTCTTTTTAGAGAACGGTTTTAGTTTACGTCTGGAGCATAGTCTGAAAGAGGGGAGCTGGAAAGGTGGGCCTAGCAAACAGAGACCTAGAAGTTAGTTTTTGTTTTTTGATTGTCATTGACCACTGATTTATTGGGTCATTTTTAGAACATCTGACTCCATTCAGCACAGTGCTTCAGTGTCCTTGTCAATGAAATAAAACTAACAGTTCTTGTCTTCTGTTTATTCTTAGCAGAAATTTTAAGAGGAATGGTTAAACTTATTGGAACATGAAGAAAAGTAGTATTTAAGTACATTTCTCTGCAATATCTATTTAATCTCAATATCTATGCATATATATGCACATACATACATATGTATATATGCTTTTAATGACTCCCATGTAAAATACTGGTTTGGTGTTAAATGGGGGTAAGAACAACTTTAAAAAATGTCTATATTTTCAAGTACACAGTTTTTCACTATTTTACTTGATTTGACCTACACTGTAGCTGTATCCATGGTTTAACAAGGTCGTTTATAATTGAGTTTTACTGTTTGAGCCTCTGTTACATGCAGTATATTTTTCCCTTTGGTTTTTCTTTTGGAGATGTTTTTATTTGTTAGGCTACAAATGCAAAAAAAAATAAATTTTGTCCTCTATGTAGGGGCGCTTTGGCATGTGTTTATTGACACTATGATGGGGAATTTCAACACGTTTTTCACATTGACTATTCTGTATGCTGTCTTTATTAAATATGCACATCCGCAGTCAAAACACAAACCATGCGTTACATGAGACCGTACTATTCTGGTTTACAAATGGTCTCTACAGATTTTTCAGAAACATATTGATGTTATACTCCAAATTTATATTGGATTTCCCAAACCCGCCCACTTCCAATGTGTATAGCACGTGTACATGTTGGATTTGATCCTGTGTTGCAATGATAGGCAACTAGTCACTGGAATTAGTGAAAATCTGGCCTATTTAGACAGCTGATCATTATTATTACCGTTGGAAAATAAAAGACTTTCAAGTTACTTAGGACTCAGATGAAAAGTGAATGTATAAGCTGTAAGGAGACTATTCCATTCTGTTCACAGTGATCCATGTGGGGTAATGAGATATAACTAAGGAATCAGAGCTTATATGCTTATATTAGATAAAGTCCTTTTAATCACTTCCTTCAATCTCCTAAATTACTCCATAGTAGCCGTAATTGTTTTATGATTTCCCCTGAATGGCCAGTTAGGGAAGGTACAGCTCCCTTTCCCCTAGCAATAGCGCAAATGTAGTTATTCAATTAAATTTATATTTATATTGCTTCTTTTTATACAGTAGATTTTGGAAATCCTTTACAGAGAGGTTGGATAATGTGATAATGTTGCGTTCTTAGCAATTATGGTGATAGGTTGAATTTAGTGCTTTTTGACAAAATGGGGACAAGTAGCCAGAGAAGTCTCCTTTGCTCTTTTATCTCCTGTGCTATGTAAAGCTAACTGGAAACAGAAAGCCTGGGGAGTGCAAAGTAACTTTTGAGGATGCAAGGTTTGTTTTACTAAATATTTTTGTGGGTTTTTTTTCCTGCTATGAACTAGTCACTGTATAATTGCATGCATGCAAATGGGCAACTGTGTTGACCTTTAAAGGTCATGCAAAGATTCTAGACCTTACAATTTGTGGTGTTAATTGCCTATGGCCTCCTGTCGCCACATATGGGGTTTTCTGTTGAGCTTGATAACACA